TGAACCTCTGGGTGACAGGTCAGACCAGATGTTCCCGTGAGCCACTTCACCACCTGTGTTCACACGCCTGAGTGCCTTGCATTTGCCTCCTTGGGAGGATACAGTTTCACAAAGGTTTTGTGCTTTATGCCCTGACCTTGTGTCATGTCCATCAGCTCTGACTGATGGCAACTGGTGGGAATTGTTCAATAGCTAAGCAATTGCTTCCTCAGGAGGAAGCTGTATGTCATGTGGATCAGGACAGAGTTACGCCAGGTGCCCTCTCTATGCGTAGACAAAGGTCTGTATTAAATACTCGCAGGACGCACTGACATACAGCCAGGGGTCTCGTATTTATCTGCACTGCGTTTGCACTGAGCGTGTATCTTCCTCTGTGCTCCATAATCTGTTTCCAGGCGCTTCTCAAGCATGCATCTTTCGCCTCTCCTTTCAGATTTCCACTTTCCAGTTTATTCTTGTTTCCATCATTCCTTTATCTTTCTTTCTTATCCTTAACCGTAGTTGATCCTAGTTTTCTAGAGGATATATCAGGGCACAGGGAGCAGGGAGAAGTACTGATAGCAAAAGAATAGTGATTTTCAGGATCGATGGAACTGTTTCCAGGCTGCAAATGCCCATAGGTCACTGGTTTAAGTTTAAGACATTACGTTTCAACTCCATTATGACCCGTATATCTCATTATCAAAAGATCATTTATCCCTAGCCATTCAGTAGATCTATTTCGGCTCTCAACATGGACAGTTAAATAATATAGTTTGTTCTTTTAGTTTTTGAATGGTCACTAATATTACAAGTTATGAATAACTTCTTTTGTGTATAGCTGGCTGTTATATATCCAGAGACAGAAACAAATATGGGTGAGAAATGTAATACTTTTGGAAGAGGCAAAGATTTGTCTCCACCCTTATAAAATTGGGCACCTGTGTGTAAAAGACCAAAACAAAAAAACACATTTTTTAGCTTTTGACTTGAGTTTTTTGTCTGAGTAGATTTTTGTCTGAACTGTCTCAAGGTATCTCCCTTTTCCTCCTTTTCTTATAAAAAGCATTTTGTAAAAGAAATCAAATCAAGTAGATAGGAGAAAGGAATTAGCTACTCAGATGAGGTAGAGAATAGACTGGGTATAAATTACAGATTTCTATCTTAGAAACTCTTTTCCCATTTTTCTGAAATCTTTGGTTTCTTCCTTTTTCAGAAGCCAGAATGCAGGGTCCCCTGTTAAACCGTAAATGTGTGAAGACCTCAAAGGTGATCTGAGTTCGTCTCCATGTGTTGGCATAGGAGCACTCTCATTCCAGCTGGAAGAGTCTTTTATTTTTAGAATTAAAAAAGAGAAATCAATATACTGGCTTAGAAATTCGCAGTGCGTTTGTCGACTTTTATTCTTGGGACTTTTTTCATTATTAGTAACTTTATGTTATTAAATATTTATCTGAATCTTTTTACCCATCTGATAGTTACCTCAACTCCTCCTTTTTTTTTTTTTTTAATTTCAGACCTTTAAAGAAAATATTATTTCTAGCATGTAGTTTTTCCTGTGTGAATTATTAGGTTCGAGTATAATTTTTTTTGAGAAATACTTGGTATAGGGCGCATTTGCTCACTGGAGAGAGAGAGACAGAGACAGAAAGTGACAAATCACTGCCCTCCCAGGGTAGATGGTCATTCTGCAAGCCCTTCTCCGCCAGTCTCCGCCAGGATTTTGGGTGCGCATACACATGTGCCTGGCGTTGAATTTCAGGCTGTCTGGTCTCAGACTTGAACTGCAGTCAACCACATGGAAGTCTAGCACCTTAACCACCATGACACCTACTGGCCCATAATTTTATCTTTTTTAGGATATTCCAGGAGTAACATTATTCTGAATCTTTATTTTCACTCTCTTGTAGAGTAGTTACAGATTAAAGCTTACATCACATACCTGTTAGCTTTGGGAAACTTCCTGGAAATTGCTCCCAGACCCTTAAATTATCTTTTTCTTTTTTTTTTTTTAGTACTTTCCTCTTTATCATAGAATGAAATAGAAGAGGTGGCGGTTAGCAAAGGGTTTTGATTTTATTTAATTATTTACAATAATTAGCAATTACGCATTTATTCATGCTCTAAGTGGAACAGAATTCCTTTTTTATTTTTTTCTTCTTAAAAGAGGTCATAGCTGGTCATCCTTTTCAGTGTGAAAGTCCTTCATGTTGTTAGTGCTTGATTTGTATACAGTATAGGTTGGTCCCAGCAAGAACAGTGTAGCGGTGTTGTGGTCGCAGATCAGACCCTAAGTTCTAGCCCCGTAGTGCACAAATGCTCGGTAGTATTTGATCAAGCAGGAAATCATGTGCAGGCTGGTAAGCACTGACAGTTCAATCAGGAGCCTAGCATACTTTCCCTAAGTGGTACCTGTTTTAAAGGTTTAGTGTTTTAGAACAGATGAAAGTGGATGAGAGGACCTTTCCCTCTGCCATATGACATGTGTCTCTGAGCCTTCTGGGAATTCATCTATTTCTCTCTGATTTTAGAGCTCCTGAACCCAGTTTGCACAGTTGGTCTGATGTAACGAACAACTGAGTTTTTCCTTCTACCCAGAGTTTTCCTTCCAGATAGCCTTTGGCTCTGAAAGAGACCGGTACCTAGGTCAGGCCCGGAGGCTTGTTCCACCCATGGCACTTATGATTCAGTTGTACATGGTAGAAGCTGGAAGTCAGTGCATTTTTATAATTCTACCAGTAACTCTGCTGGATAGGAGGATTGAGGTACCGATTCATACCAAACTTCTTATATTAGTACGAGTTAAGTGTCCTGAAGGACTTTATGCCATTGGCTTGTTCAGTAAATGTTGGTACCCACTGTGCAGTAGTGCACGAGGTAAGTACTGTCCCTGCCTTCATGGAGGGCCATGCCATTGAGCGGTCCAAGCCAGCGAGCGGTCCATGCCGTTGGGAGGTGCATGCGTGGGACAGGTTTCACAGAGGTGTGCTGGATGTTGTACCAAGTGCATTCCACAAGCACCTCACTCTTACCAGCAGTTGCAGAGTGTGGGGTACTATTTTCCCTGTTTTACAAATGAGAAAACACATTTCAAAGGTTAAGTGACTTGTCTGACACCACACAATAGGAAGTGTTTAATAACTCAGATTTTTCAACTCTAAAATCAGGTCTCCTAACTTTTTTTTAAGAGAGATTTTTGGTATAGGGCATGTGCACTCACCAGAGAGACAGAAAACAGGAGATCACCCCGCAAGGGGAATGGCCACGCTGCAATCCCTTCTTCCCCATTCTCCTTTCAGGATCTTGAGCATGCACACGCATGTGCCTGATGTAAGTTTCAAGCCACCAGGTCAGGACTTGGATAGTGGGCAACTATGTGGGAGTTGAACGACGTAACCATTATGCCATATGCTGCTCCCTAGTCATAACGTTTTTAAAAAATTGTTTATTTCATTTTATTTATTACTGTTTTTAGAAATATGCTATAGGGCATGTGTACTCACCAGAGACAGACAAGGAGGGGAAGTGAGAAAGCAAACTGCCAGGTCTGAGACTTGAACCATAATTGGCCACGTGAGCATCTAGCACTTTAACCACCATGCCACCTCCTGACCCTCTCATAAGTTTTAGTTGCCACATTGCCTGGCTGTTTGATGCTTATTAATATATTTACTGGGCACGTAGCATTTATCTCAAATGTTACTCTCAGAGATTTTGCCAGCCACTCTTCAATTATCTTTATTCATTTTTTTCTGGTTATATTTACATCTTACTAGTTGTGGTGTACTGGAAGGAACAATGGCTCAGATTTTTAAATTCTAGATTTGGCTTTTTTGACTGTCAAATTTGAGACGTTAGTCCAAGTATTGAACATCTCCGAGTCTCAGTGTCCTCATTCATACGAAGTGGCAGTCTTTCATTGCAAGTCGTTGAGAATGTAATGAGGCAGGCTATCTCAAGGAGACTAGCAGTACGCAGAGCAGAAGTTACGGTCAGGTCAGTAATGCTCGTTTCTGGCCCTTTGCCTTTTTATCTACCAAATTGCTACCTCAATTGTTAAATTGATGATCACGGTTCCTCTTTTGTTATGTAGTTGTAGGAACTTTTTGTTTTCGAGTAAATAAAATTTTAAAATTTGATACATCTTTTTTTTGGGTGGGGGGAGGCTTTTGCTATAGGGCACGTGCGCTCGCCAGAAAGAGACAGTGATAGAAAGCGAGAAATCACCCCCAAGGGGGGATGGTCACACTACAATCCCTTCTCCTCCATTCTCCTCTCGGGATCTTGGGCCCACACGCACATGCTCTGACGTGAATTTAAGCCATTGGGTTCAGGACACGAACGACAGTTGACTACGTGGGAGTCCAGCAACATAGCCATTATGCCAACTGCTGGTCCCAAGTTTGGTACATCTTTAAATAAACTACTCTGAACTAAACTGGGTTAGTTAAAACTTTAAACAAACTGTACTTTTAGAAGAGATCAGGACTGTGTGGTCAGTTTTGAACATGTCAGTCGTTACCAGGTGTTTTGTAACAAACTTTTTTTTTTTTTTTGCCATAGGGCTTGATCACTTGCCGGGAGAGAGACAGAGAAAGACAGGGAAAGTGAGAAATCACCCCCACAGAGGGGTGTGGGGAGATAGCCCTTGCATGGCAGTCCCTTCTCATTCATTCTCCTCTTGGGATTTTGGGCACACATGCAACCCGTGTGGTTTTAAAGCCACCGGGTCCAGGACTCAAACTGTGGTCACCCATGTGGGAATCCAGCACTTGCACCACCATGCCACCTGCTGGGCCCTGTAATAAACCTTTAATTAGCTTTAATGTGCTGAACTCGAGAGGAAGGAAATGTTAAAAGAGAATTACAGGACCCAATCTCAGCTGTTTGAAAACTTACAGCCAAAGTGTCATCTAAACTATCTTTTCTGCATTTTTCAAAGAGAACCTCATAAGAAGCGGAATCAGAACGCTTGCTAAAGGTGACACAGGAAATCTTTCTCTGTACCATTGTCAGTTGCGCTATTTCGTAGAAAGAGATGAAGTGATTTGTTGAAATCACTCACGCCCCTCTGTAGATGCCGTCCCTGCTGGACTGCCTAGTGTGAAAGTCCCTGTGCCCGGAGAGCTCTCCCGAGGCTTTCTTGAGTGTGATTGCTGTCTGAGAGCTGCAATACTGCCTGATACGCTTTTCTTTTCTTTTCTCCCTAGGTCAGTAAAATTGTGTCAAATGTTCCCCAGTTGGAGTTTCTAAACCTGAGTTCCAACCCTCTGAATTTGTCGGTTTTAGAAAGAACATGTGCTGGGTCCTTCTCTGGGGTTCGCAAACTTGTACTCAACAACAGCAAAGCTTCATGGGACACGGTCCACACGATACTGCAGGAGTTACCAGAGTAAGCCCCAGGAGCATGATGGAGAGCTCCCCCTCTGTGTTGCCATCTGTGTCAGTACATGGAATTCCTGCTCATCTTCCGTCTCTGAAATACTGGAGCTGCAGACGGACTGGAGAAAGAGCCCGCAGAAATGCAGTAGTTAGAATGAGGGTGTGAGGGTAACCTAGCAGCATTTCCAGTGGGGGACTTGTTTGAGGTTGTGTGGCACCAAGACATAGCATACGTCTTCCTGTGGCTAGAAAATAGCCCTGCGAAGCTCTTATCACTTCTAGATCAGCCTGCCCTTTTTCCTTTTAATCTTCTGGTTACAGGATTTAAGGATTTTTTTCCCTCAGCCCTTTTCTTTGATAGAAAAAAAAAAATCGTAATATCTCTGAAACAGGTGAACATTCAGATGACTAAGTGCCTACCTGGCTTGATGTTTTGAAAAATAGAACTGGTATTTTTTTCAGTAATTTAAGAAATAAGTTATACTTTTGTCAGTTTAGAAATGCTTTATTATGTTTATGTATGCATATTAGTGAGCAAAGGAAGTAGTTTAGAGAAATATGTGAAGCTGTTATTTCTCTGACTGTCTCAATAGGAAAGATCATAGCCTATAAGGATCACTTCTCTCCCTACTTATTCCATTTTTTTTTCTTATTCTCACTCTAATGAGATTGGTTTCCTCAATGCATGTGACAACCCGCATGGCATAGGATGACCCTTTAAATCCTGCTCCTCTGACTGACTGTAGATAAGCTCCTCAGGCTCCTTGAGCTCGGTTTCCTTGTCTGTAAAATGAGCACAAGGGTATTTACCCTGCAGAAATAGAAGCAAAATCTGTAATGTACCTGGCACCGGCCCTAACAGGGAGAGATTCAGTAAGTGATAGCTGGTATTTTTGTTTCTAAACATTGGTTCATGTTGTTGCTGAAGTTTTCTTTTATCGGCTGTCAACTTGGGTGAGTCTACCCCTCTATTAAGGTTATCCTTTCTTGATTATTCTAATACAACTTCAGTTTCATTCCTGTCTGAACTACCGTTGTACTTACAGCTAGTATCACCTAATTTAGCATTTAATCATTTAAGCACAAAATTAATTTAGTGCTAGTTGGTATCATTCTCTGCGGTCTTAAATACTTACATTTTGTTGTCACAGCTATGATCTGAACTTTAGGAAGACATCTTCGAATTTTTTCTGCCGTACCTGGCAGAGGGTGGTATAGTAGCACTTGTTTATTTGTTGGATGAATGAAGCTAGGTGTAAAGCAGAAACTAAACTGCTTTAAACAGCGGTCTGTTTCCTTTTTCTCTGCAGTTTGGAGGAGCTCTTCCTGTGCCTTAATGACTATGAAACAGTGTCTTGTCCTACCATTTGCTGTCATTCTCTTAAGCTGTTACATATAACAGACAACAACCTCCAAGACTGGACTGAAATACGGAAGTTAGGAGTGATGTTTCCTTCCCTGGATACCCTCGTCCTGGCCAACAACCATTTGAATGCTATTGAGGAGCCTGATGATTCATTGGCCAGGTTGTTTCCGAATCTGCGATCCATCAGCCTCCACAAGTCAGGTGAGAGTCCGCCTTGTTCTCCTTGTACATACAAATCGATCTGAGCTTGTGTGTGAAATACAGCAACAGTATATTTCTCTCAGAGCTCTAGCTTTTACAGAATGGATTCTCCCTCTCTCTCTCTCTTTTTTTTTTTTTTTAAAGGTTTTGCCATAGGGCATCTGCACTTGCCAGAGAGAGACAAAGAGAAGGAAAGTGAGAAATCACCCACTGGGGGGATGGCCATGTCACAATCCTTTCTCCTCCGTTCTCCTCTCGGGATTTTGGGCACACATGCACAGTTTCCCAGTGTGAGTTTCAAGGGACTCGAACTGCAGTTTCAGCCATGTGAGAGTCCAGCATCTTAACCACTATGCCACCTCCTGGCCCCTAGAATAAATTTTCAACATAGCATATCTCTTAGTAGGCTAAATTTAAGGCATTTAATGTGCTGATAAATTTTGGGTCCCTCAGACAAGTCATGACACATTTTTGCATAGAAAAACATAAAAAAAAAAAGTCATGATTTTTCCAGCAACCCAATATTAAGTGTCGTAGCATTAAATTAGCAGTTTACATTTTATTGATTAAAGAAGCAAAGTGAAATTGATAAAGTAAAAGCCAGAGTAAAAAGAATACAGAGAATTACAAACTGGACTATTTTCATCTGGACTTAGCTTAAGGAATCTCAACCTGCCATACCTTTCCGAATGCTCACTTTTCTAGTGTCTACATGTGATTTATTGCCAGTTTATTGCTATCTGATCTATGTATTGCTGAAATTAATATAGTTACCTTAATTTTTTAATGAATAAACTTTATAGTTAGAGCAGTTTTAGGTTCAGGACAAAACTGAGTGGAAAGGGCAGAGTTCCCTCATACCCCGTTTCCACACAGGATCCACCTCTGCAGTAGTAGCGTCCTGCATCAGAGCGGTACATTGTACCTCGGTAATCAACCACCGCAGGGAGACGCATTTGGGTGTACTCCGGCCTTATGTATCCCGTGGTCTTGGACAGATGTGTAATGACATGTATCCACCATTGTCATATTGCACAGAATCGTCTCCCTGCCCTAAAAATCCTCTGTGTTCTACCTGTACCCCCTGTCCTTGGGAACCACTGAGTCTTTTTGCTGCCTCCATAGCTTTGCCTTTTCTAGAAGGTTATCCATTAGTGTTGGAATCAGTACGTGGTCCTTTCAGACTGGCCTCTGCACTTGGTAATGCATTTAAGTCCTCCTTATCTTTTCATGGTTTGATATTATCCTCAACAGCCAGTCCTCCATTTCTGTATCCCTTAAGTTTCTTGCCTCTCTATTTCTTGTGCCTATTTTTCAGTTGAGTTGTTCCTTTTCCTTTCGTTGAGTTTTAAGAGTTGCCTTTTTTCACGTATTTTAGGTAACAGTTTTTTTAATCAGGTATGTGTTTTGTGAATTCCTTCTCCTAATTTGTTACTGTTCTTCCTTCTCCTGACATTGTCTTTTGGCCTGCTTTTTTTTCCTTTTTGAAGACAGTCTCATCAGATCCTCTGCCTCAGTCTTCCAGCTGGAACTGCAGACATGCACCACCACACCTACCTCTTTTATTAGCGTCTTGCTACTTTGCCCAGGCCAGCCTCGAGTTCATAATCTTCCTTTCTTAGCCTCTCCAAGTCGCTGGGATTCCAGGCACACGCCTTTGTGGCTAGCCTTTGGTTGGACCAGGAGTCACACATAGGCCTCCCGTGTGGTCCAGCCTTGAGAGCACAGTATGCCACTGTGACTGGGTCTAGCCTGTTTCTTAAGACCACTACATAATTTAAAATACCCCTTCAGCTGAAAAACCATAGATTTAGCTCACCATGGAGTTTAAAAACTAGCATTTTGTACAAGGACGCTGTTTATTTCACAGCTTCACACCCTCGAGCTAACTCTGTTCTTTCTCCTAGATGAACGAGCCTTTCTCAGGGAAGAAGGTGGTTGTGACCTGAGATAGTTAGGCACTGGCACCCTTTTAACTTTGCTCCTGTGTGTTTTCCCTTGCTAAATGTTGATAGAAAATAGTAAGGGTCTGCGTTGTTCTCTGAAGTGGATTAATACTGTTGTAAAATTGACCCACTTCTATTCCTGGAATATTTTTTCTATTTGGATATCCTACCTTAGAAGTTAAGTATTGACTTGGGTAATTATTTACTTTCAGCCATAAGGAGTTTCACTTTAAAACTAAAAAAAAATAATTTGTTATGTGTTCTTATCCAAAGGTTTAAGTTTTTTTGTTTAGTTTATTTTAAATTTTGGATCCTTTTCCTCTGTCACCAAGATGATGACAATGTGGAAGTGATAGTATTTAGTTTTTATTTCCATTGACCTTACTTCATTTTAGTTTTTGTCATGTAAAAGTCTGAGCGTGATGTTGTCAACCCTAATCAATAGTTACATTCCATGAGTCTGTCTTTAAGTGAAATGAATTGGTCACATCACTTCTTAAATTATGTAATCATGGCATACATCCTACTTCCTGAAACTCCCAGCGAGCCCCTTTCTAAGCCACTTAGGTGGAGAGTCAGTAACTGAGGGGCTGTTAGAGAATAAGGCTTTCTGTCCTTGACCACTGCGGTATCAAGAGAGGAGAAAGGCTAAGGGGGAAGTCTTGATGCTCTTCAGCTGTATTCTACTCTTTTCCTGGATAAAGAGAAATTTCAGGTTCTCTAATTTATGATCCCTTTAACATTTCAGAAATTATTCATTGAAGTGATTTTTTTTTTTTTTACTCTATTTAAGTTCTTATTTGTGGACGCTTCTGGATTTACTTAACAGTGTACCTCTCAAATTAGGTTTGCAATCCTGGGAAGACATAGACAAGCTCAATTCATTCCCCAAACTTGAGGAAGTGAGATTATTAGGAATTCCTCTTCTGCAGCCATATACCACCGAGGAACGAAGGAAATTGGTAATAGCCAGGTCTGTTTTCTTTTCTTCTGCTTTCTTTTCGCAGGGCCTTATGGCTTCATTAAAGGGATAATGCACTATTTGGGGGAGTGCACTGTGTGTTTATCTCTCTCCTGAGAAGACGTGCCTGAAGGAGCTGCTTCTGTACCTCCAAATCCTGGATGAAAAGGAATACAATGTGATGAATAAAGCATGGCATGTAATTGGCCTGCTGAGACCACTGAAAGATTTCCTCCCAAATTTATTCTGTTTTTATGCTTTTCAGTATTTAGAATATGTGAAGCCCTGTTGTAGGTCACAAAGTGAGAGTACTTATTGGAGGGAATCATTTCTCTTGTAGTTGTCCTTATTTTCTCTGTTAACATAGTGTTCATTTAATGTGTAAATACCTGACGGTTGGCTCTTTTATTCGTGTAAAATTTAAGAGAGCAGCATCTGTGTTTTCTTGCTGAATATAAACTGACTTAAATATGACTGCCATTGCGTTACCTCTGACCTCTACCTTTAGTGCCTTAACCCGACCCGAGGGTCTGCTGGGATTTTCCATGAGTGTTTATTTTCATATGAACCTTGATCAGAAATGAGAGTTTGGCTAAAATGGAAAGGGCCATGGAGCTTTGCTTTGTTCTCTTTGTGTACCGTACCTAGTAGTTTCGAAAGGGAAGCGGTAGGCTTTAAGATTCCCTATAGAAGAGTGCTTCTTTAGAGAAGGTATCGATCTCTCTGACCAACTAACACATCACAGATCCCTAGGCTTTGCAGCTGCTAACACACCCCATTAGTATCTCACTGAAGAAATAAATGTCAGTGTGCTTTTCCTTCAAGAAGAATAAATCTTACAGTAGGCCCTGGATTTTATTTGATTTTTAAGTGCTTTGGCAAGTATGATAAATTCGTATCTGAATTATATAACCACTTTGTATTGAGTGCTCTTTAGACCTGTGCTGTTTAATGTGGTAGCCACCAGCCAGCCATGGGTTGCTGTGAGCCCTTGAGATAACTTGTCTGAACTGAAAGGAGCTACAAGTGTAAAATAGACATTGGATTTCGAATACTTGATATGCATAAAAGAGCATAAAATAGCTCGTAAATTATCTTTAAATATTGATTCCGTGTTGAAATGAACTATTGGGTTAGCTAAAATATTAAAATTAATTTCATTTGTTTTATTTTTACTTTTAAAATATGGCTGATAAGAAAGTTTAAAATTCCATCTGTGACTCATGTTACAGTTATTTCACTTGGACAGTAGTACCTAGAATCTTATTCTGAAAGGTGAAGTATGATTATGGAAGGTCATTGTTATATCCAAAAATGAAACTAGATTTTTCTGTTCCTTTTGTTTTATATCACTTGATTTTGTGTCAGTAGTTGCACAACTGTGTACACAAAATATGGTCTTTGAAGAAGATAAGACTGAGTTACAAACCGGTTACTAATATCTTACTGGTCAAGCCAAACATTTTCAGTATCTTAAAATGTCTTTATTTTGGTTTTAATTGACAGATTACCATCAGTTTCCAAACTTAATGGCAGCGTTGTTACCGATGGTGAGCGAGAAGATTCTGAGAGATTTTTTATTCGTTATTATGTGGATGTTCCACAGGAAGAAGTGCCATTCAGGTAAATAAAAAAGACAAAAAAACCCCTCTCATCTGCTTAGCAAAGCATTGCAGAGTGTGGAGGTAGCTAAAGAGTTATGTTTTGGAGCAAAATCTAATAACCTGTTATTGGATGGTTCTTCGAAGACTTTGGTAGTAGGGTTAAAAAAAAAAAGAAAAGGAGGAAACAAAAGCAAGACTGCCACCTCGTTTCCCACAGTGCATTGCTTTTAATTGTCCATGAATGAAGGGTGGCTGGGGAGGAGCTCACTTAATCCCACCTTCCCTCTGCTTACTCCATAGCCCTGGCCCATTGACTTGATTGCCAGGGGGCACATGCACTCATCTGAGAGAGAGAGAGCTAGAGAAAACCACCCAGTGGGTCATGGTCCTGCTGCAACCGTTCCCTCTATTTCTCTGTCTTTTCAGGATTCTTTGCACATACACATGTGTCTGGCCTATTTTTCAAGCTGCCGGGACTGGTACTTGAACTATAGTCAGCCATGTAGCATCTGGCCTTCTGTGCATAGCACCTAACCACTGTGCTGTAGGGTTCTTTTTTGATGTCCTTCTCTAGAGGTGTTTTTTTGTTTGTTTGTTTGTTTCTTTGTTTGTTTTGTTTTGTTTTCATTTACCTCCCAAGTTGGTCTCTTTATTCACACTGCATCTACTTTTAGATAAAATCAGTTCTGCATTTTAGAAGATTTGGTAAATGTGCAGTTAAGTTCACAGTATATGAGAAAAGAACTGGAAAACAGATTCCTGAGGAAATACTTAAAGAATTCAGATGGTTTTTTATGAAGAGAAATGCTGAGGGCTAAATTAGTAATTTTCTTTTTTCTTTTTTTTGAGAGAGATTTTTGCTATAGGGCACGTGCACTTGCCAGACAGAGGGACAAAAAGCGAGAAATCACCCCCCCTGGAGGAAGATGGCTACACCACAATCCCTTCTCCTCCATTCTCCTTTTGGGATTTTGGGCAAGCATGTGCAAGCACCCAGCGTGAGTTTAAGCTGCCAGGTCTGGGACTTGAAGTACATGGTCAACTACATGGGAGTCCAGTGACATAACCGTCACACCATCGACTGGTCCCAATAATTTTCTTTAAATAAAGAAAGACTTCGTATATTGTCTGGTGAGAAGCCACCTGTGTTACTCTAATGATAAAAGAAAATGTAGCAACTGTGATATCAGCAAATATACAAGAAAATATGTCTTTTTTTTTTTTTTTTTTTTTGCTATACGGGCATGTGTGCTCGCCAGATAGAGACAGAAGAGACAGAGACACAGAAAGCGAGAAATCACCCCCCCCCCCGGGGGGGGATGGCCATGCTGCAATCCCTTCTCCTCCATTCTCCTCTCGGGATCTTGGGCACGCATGCACACATGCCCGGCGTGAGTTTTAAGCCACTGGGTCCAGGACTGGAACCGTGGTCTACTACATGGGAATCCAGCAACATAACCATTACGCTAACTGCTGGTCCCCCAAGAAAATATGTCTTTGAACACAGGTTTCTAAGTCTTGGTAACTAGAATTGGTTACCAGTGAATTGATGCACTTTTCTTCCTTTAAGACTTTAAGAGTAATATAAATACCCTACTTGATAGGAAGAGTTTCAGACAAGTAGGATAGAACTACGGGCTGAATGGGAGTCACATTAATTGATCCCTCTAGTTATAAATATCTTTGACTCTAATTTGTTCTTATTAAACATGTCTATCCCCCCCGCAAAGTTCGCTATTATTTATAGACTTTAAGGGAGTTGATATTATGTAAGCCTCAACCAGTGCTGTATAAAAAGATTTTGTGATTAGATTAATAGTGTTTTTTTTGGGGGGGGGAGAGATTTTCACTGTAGGGCGCGTGCGCTCGCCAGACAGACAGAGAGAGACATAGAGCCAGAAAGCGAGAAATCGCCCCCCAGGGGGGATGGTCACGCCGCAATCCCTTCTCCTCCATTCTCCTCTCAGGATCTTGGGCACGCACGCACACGCACCCGGTGTGAGATTCAAGCCACCGGGTCCGGGACACGAACCGCGGTCGACCACGTGGGAGTCCAGCGACATAGCCATTACGCTAACTGCTGGTTCCCAAGATTAATAGTGTTTTAAAGGCTGAGTATTTAAAAATAATAGAGAAATTGAGTAAAGATAACCTTTTAAAATTAGCTAAGAAGGGGCCAGCAGGTGGCGTAGTGGTTAAGGCACTGGACTGCATTTGTATTCTGGACCTGGTAGCTTGAATCTCACGTGTGTATATATGTGCCCAGAATCCCAGAAGGAGAGGAGGGGCGAAGGGATCGCAGTGTGGCGATCCTCCTGGGGGGAGGGTGATTTTTCACTTTCTGTCTCTCTTTCTCTGTCTCTCTGGCAAGCACACATGTACTATGGGAAAAATCTCTCCAAAAAAAGCTAAGAACATCTAGGTAGTAGGGGAAATGGATACTAACTATATTTTTAAGTGCAGTCTAGACATATTAGGTGGGACCATGAGAAATTTGTTTTTTGGTAAAAATTGTTCTAATACCTGTAGTTTCACTCGGTTCAGTCTAACATATTAATGGAAGAAGTAAATATTATGGCTTTGAGCATAAGTTTATCATTACATTTTACTTAACTTTCAGGTTGCTACAAGAAGATAGGTAGATAGGTAGGTAGATTCATACAACCATACATAGGTTTATGTTTATATTTAACTATTTTCTGCCCCTATTGATGCTACCCTGAAGTGCATTTATGCCTCTGTACTAGTTGGTGGTGTTGAATGCAAGTCATAGAAACTAACTTGGATAAACTTCAATGAAGAGACAAATAGACAATGAAGAGGATTGGATATTGGGAAACTAGGAACTGGCAGATAGGATTAAAAAAAGGTTTAGGCAGGAGCTAAGATGGTGGGGGTGCAGGGACAGTTACGGTCCCTTCTTTGTTTTTTTCTTCCTTTCTTTCTTCCCTTCCTCCCTCCCTCCTTTCTCTCTCTCTCCCTCTCTCTCTCTCTCTTTCTTTCTAAGAGATTTTTGCTATAGGGCTCATGCACTTGCTGGAGAGACAGAGAGAGACAGAAAGTGAGAAATCACTCTCTGGGCGGGGGAGGCCACACTAAAGTCCCTTCTTCTCTTGGGATTTTGGGCACACATGCACAAGTGCCTGGCATGAGTTTTGAGCTGCTGGGTCAGAGACTCGAACTGTAGTAGACCACGTGGAAGTCCAGTGCCTTAACTACTATGCCACCTACTGGCCTCTTTTCTTTCTTTTGTAAAATTTGACAGAAGGTTCGTGCGCTTGTGGGAGAGAGACAGTGACATAGGGAGAGGGAGAAAGTACCTCCCAGTGCAACGTGGTCACACTGCAGTCTCTTCTCCATCTCTTCATGTGGGGCATACTCACATATATGTACTTGGCTTGTTTTCAGGCCCCTTGGACTGAGGTTTAAATGTGCTTGACTGTGTGGGCTCTGGCTTTTTGACTACTAGGCCGTGGGGCCAGCCCTCTGGTTTCAATTTGTATTTTGCTAAATTTGTTATCCTGTCATCTCTGGACTCCATGGTGCTGGACTTTGCCACCAAGTACTTTACTTGAGTTGTGTCACTGGACTTTTAATTCCTCCATGAGTATTGGAATCGTCTCTCACTGACTTTTTTATTTTTATCTAAAAAAGATTTATTAAGTACTTCCCTTATGGCAGGGACTCTTCTAGATACAGTTAATTAAAGTAAACAAGTTCCTGAAGTTCCAAAGTTCATGAGAGCACCAAAGTTTCTGTGGGCTCACATGCTGACAGGACCTCCCACTGACCTTTACGTTCTTTCACAAATCAGAAACCAGCCCGAAACTGCTGAGGAGCAGCGTTTAGGTCACGTACGACATGTGAGGAGAAGGACTCTCTCTTCCATTCTGGCTTTTGCAATGAGAGGTAGAATCTCATTTCTCTTGATCTTGGGACATTCCTCCAAATAGGGACAATTCTGCAAAACTAGCATATACCATAGTCTCCCATTCGGGCTCCCTAACATCTGTATATACCCAGTCTCCAGAGTTACATTTTAATTATTATTACTTGCTCTAATACATTTTTTCTGAAAAGACACATTTTTCTTTCCTCAGATGAGATAATTCAGGTCTTATGAATTGCTGCATCTAGCTCCCAGTCTTGGATTTCGGACAATATCTATTTCTTATCTGTCTTGAAACCTGTTGATTCAGTTGTAAAGTATCCCCTCTATAAAATAATGGAGAAAATAGAGAAGAAAAGAAAGTTAATTAAAATGTGTAGGTATTTATATGATGCAGCAGAGAATAAAAGATAAATACAGATGAAAATGCTCCTATTTTTACTGGTCCTGAAGATATAATTGGTATTTATGATTTCCTTCTTTCACTATTGCTGTTTTAATTTGGTTACATCTAACCTCACGTTCAAGTAACTTAGTTGGACAGGGTTCTTCACCTGTCTGGGGAGTGGGCGGTGTATCTCCACTCTTGGTAGTTTCACCTGTGGTTTCAGTCGCGCATCATTTTGTTAACACAGCAAAGATACCCTGGGTCCCAATGTTGCTCCCATTGTATTTCTCCTTTGACAGTCAAACTGATCTTGGCTGACAGTTAAAATTTGGGGGGGAGAGTGGGTGGGTTGAGTTTGAACTAGTTAATGATTTGTGGAACTTGAAGTGAGTAGTTGAAAAGTCTTGGCTTCTGTTTGGATAGTAGTACGAGTAGAGACTTCCCTTTGTTGAATGGTGGCGTCTCTAAACTGAGAGCCCAGGAACATGACATGGCAGTTTTGCAAGTTGGTCACTAGAGGTAATCATGAGATGTGTGGTGTCCTTCACGTCTTCCTTGGGTTCGCAATACTGTCCATCCTGACTAAGAAATAACTAGCATCGCTTTTGTTCTTCAGGACCCAAGCCAACTGATGGTTAAATGGAGATACGAGTCATCCCCAGCACGTCTTCAGTGGTGGCACTGCCTTTCTGGCTGCTCTAGGGAAGCAATGTTGCTTTGGGTTTAATGTTTTGTTTGAAAG